CATAACAGCCATGACCTAGTGGAGTCTAGAAAACTCCAGGTCAGCCATGAAGAGTGTGGGGAGGGCGTAGGTAATGCCAGCCAGGCAGAAGAGGGGTTTGCTGCACTCCAGCACCCCAGCACCCCAGCATGGCATCAGTAGGAGGCAGGTCTGGCATGAGGTGACCTGCGTGGACTGAAACTCAGAGGCCGGAGAACAGCCTGCAGGGGTGGGTAGGGCTCCTGCAGTCATTCCCCATTGCCCAGGAGCCCTGGGAGTTGTTTCCTGGCCATCACCAGATGAAAGAATCACAGTTGGGAAGTGCAGCCCAGAAGTGTTTACCTAATGGAGCACACAAACAAAGGTCTTAGCTTATTCCAAACAACTGCTCACCACTCCCCATCATTGTAAATACCTTCTCCAGAAAATAGAGACAGCAGCTATTCCCCCTTCTCCATTGTTTTTCCCTCCTTCTGGCCCATTTCTGCCTGCAGCTGGGAGGTGAGGCTTACCTCCCAGAGCTGAGACAGCAAATCCTGAGGGGGGTCTGTCAACACCACTCCGTCACATAATTTAAATGATAGCTATATTTAAATAAGCATCTGCAGAATCTGCTTCCCTCTGGATGGGGCTATAATTTCCCTGCTGGTCATTGGGGGCCATGCCACGGGTCTGGAAGGTCCATCTTTCCATGGTCACTCAAGCCCTTCACTCCTCAGGAGTTCCTGGGTCTGGGGTGGCCACCATCGTGGCATCTCTGCTTCTGTGGCTACTCAGCCAGAAGCTGCTTTGGAACCTGAAATTGCTTACATCCCAGACTTGTTTAGGCCCCATTCCCAAGGCCCCCTCTTTGTCCAGCATCCCATTTGAACTTACACACCCCCAACTACCAGGCTCAGGTTTCAACAGTGACTGAAAAATGTAAGGAAGAGTTTCTGGTCAGGTCCTGCCCAATTCCACCTACAGGAGGGGAATGGAAAAGCTGTTGGTGTATGGACTGAGCCCTCAGTGTTCTAGCTGAATTGGCCTGAGAGGCCCCGAGAAGGCCCTTCTCTGGACACATGGCCACGTGACATCCAGTTGGCTGCCCGGCCCAGGGTGGTCAATGCATCTTGTGTGGGAGTGCACAGATGAGCAGCTTTGGTCCCCCAAACAGCTGGTTTCCTTTCCAGTCTCAACACGTCTGAGAGGTGCAATGGGGCTCTGTCTTCCGGAAGCCATTTACATGGGTGCCTCTCTGTCATGGCCCTCGCTGGCCTTGGGCTACAAGTATTGTAGACACAGGGCTGTGTCTGCGAGCTGACCCATGGCTCTCCACCATTCCAGTTATACTAAATGAGTTCCGACACCCCCTCCCCCAGGCCTGACAGCCCCTCCTCATCCGGCGTGCTCCAGCCCCGCTGCTGCTTGTTGACCCATGGCAGCTGCGCCAGAAAGCCATTTGGGCCTCCTCAAGAGCTGAGTCTATCAGTCAGCCCCTCATTCTTTGTTTATTTTTCCAGAGCTATTTGTGATAGCCCATCATTAGTCCATGGAAATGTTTCTTTTTAATGCAACTGATGCACTTTTTTGGGGGGCAAGTAGAGATGTTTTGCTGGGATTTCTATACAAAATTTTGCCTCCTTTTTGCCCAGGGTGTATACATGTGGGGTACCTGGAGGCCTCAACCTGTGTGCCCCCATGAGCACTGCCACGTCTAGGCAAAGGCTGGTGGTCAAGGCCTGGCCCTGCCCTTTTCCTGCAGAAAGGGAGCCAGCTTGGGGAGACTGCAGAACAGAGATCCTAGCCTCTGCTCACCTACCAGCTCTGGAACCCAGGTGGGGAGGACTTGCCCCCTCTCCCCTTTGCGTGCCTCTGTTTCCCCATCTGTCAAGTAAAGGGATTGGACCAAGAGGCATCTGAGGGCCCTTTGAGGTGGAAGGTGTCAGATTTGGGACCACTGGCCTGGGCTTGGCTGGACGTGGCGCCTGCTCCTAGAACTTGGGTATAGTCAGCTCTTGCCCAAAATATCAACTCCCAGTAGGAGAGACATAGTAGGGCTTTAAAACATTACGAAGCACCTGTGTGGCTCAGTCAGGTAAGCATCCAACTCCTGGTTTCAGATCAAGGTCACAGTTTGTGGGTTCAAGCCCCTTGTCAGGCTCTGAACTGACAGTGCTTGGGATTCTCTCTTCCTTCTCTGCCCCTCCCCTGCTTGTATGCATGCTGCCTCTCAAAAAATAAACTTAAAAAACCAAAACATTTTATTATTGCTGTTGTTTTCAAACAAGACCAGGACTGTAGGGAGAGAGAGCTAACTGTAGCCTTTTAGGGGTCAAATACTCGGAGAAGGGTGAGTGGGAGCCTGGTTTTCATCAGTAGGTATCAGAGTGGACAGATGGCATGGAGTAGGTGAAGCTTTTCCAATGCAGGCAAAACCCACTGTCAGCTCTTACACCTGTGAGAGGAGAGGGCACTGTGGGAAGGGTGCTGTGGGAGGATATTGTGGGAGGAGATGCTGGAGGGGTCCCCTGGGAGGGGGCTCTGAGGCCTTTGGAGATTCTGAGGGTGGAGGCTCATCCTAGGGCATCCTGGAAGCATTTTCGGTGAGACCTCCTCCAGGTCACCATAGGCCAGTGAAGGGCTGTGCTGAGCTCAGGGCTGCTGCCATCCGGCCCGGCCTTTCCCCAGGACAGCTCCATAGGCAGCAGTGTTGGGAGGCCAGCCGGAGGGAGAATCACAGTCCAGGCAGATGACTGCCTACCACCCTGCCCCTACCCCCGGGAGCTGACCAGGCAGCTGAGGAGGAGACCCTTCTCCCTCGGGGTCTGAGGAAGGGCCACACTGGCCACTTGCAGTATCCTAGGTGAGACTTACCCCGAGGAGGGTTTTGGGGTAAGATGCAAGAAGGGGGGCAAATGAGTGTGGTCCAAGTCCTACACCTGTCTCTGCCCTGGGCACAACTTCTTAGTAAGCTGGACAGGCTTTTTCTGAGGGCAAGGCTGGTGGCAGCTCAGAGAGACCCAAGCCTGCAGGCAGCAGGAAGGCCAGACCTGGTAGTACCAAGCCGAGACCGAGAGGCTGGTGCAGGGCCAGGCTGTGGGTGGCTGGAGTTCTCCCTGCCTCTGGGCTTGGCAGTACCCCCACTGCCCTGAACCAGAGGGCTCCAAGCTCCTGCTCTGCTACTTCACATCCCAACACTGCCTGCCATATGTAGACCCCACTGGGCTTGGCTCCTTCATGGCAGTGTGTGCTGTCCTAGGCGGCCTCCAGGGCACCCAATCCCTCTATGTCACCTGCTGCTTCTTCCGGCTCTGCTGCCCACCCCTAGGTCCCACCCAGCAGCTCAGGGACCCTCCCAGAGGCTCTGATCATGGTTTTTCCTTCTGAATGGAGCAATCACCACTGACACAAGTAGTCTCAGGTAACTTTAATGAAAGTGTCAGCAGTCCATTCCCCCACGGTGGTATAGGGATGGCTGAGCTCAAAACAGAAATGTAGCTGCGGAGGCAGCCAAGCTCTCTGCTCCAGACTTGGGGGCTGGGGCAGGGAAGCATCACTTCTCATGGCCGAGTCCAGCAGCCGTGCCTCGTGGAAGGTCACATCTGGGCTTTAGGACTCTTTAGGACTCTACTTGCCCTATGCTTGCTATACCAACCCCCAGGTCCGTGTGTCAGAGGGTGCGACACATGGGGCCAGGGAGCCCAAGTGACCACCGCCACTGTGGCCTGGTCAAGGAGTGCTTTTAGAGCTACACAAGAAAGAGTGGTCATTCCGTCATCAAACAGCACACATTCTATATAAATAAAAAGAAGGGGGAGGAAGGGGGAGGAGGGAACGAAAATTGGCACAGACATTGATATATTGCTTTCCAGTTTCAATGCGACAGACGCAAATCATAACACCAGGGGAACAGAAACGAGGGCTGGGTGTGGCTTTTCTAAGCAGAGTGTGTTCCCCTTGCAGGGCTGGAGGGATGCTAAGATGGATGGGGATGGGAAGCCAGGCCAGAGGCGGCCCAGAGCTGGAGTCCTGAGAAACCCAGGGAGTCCAGAAATGTGCAGAGAGCAGAGGACTCTGATCCCTGCCTCTACCCCCAGGAGAGCCACACTCCTTTAAAATGGTGGGTCTGCTTTCCTTGAAAGGAAAAATTACAAAGAAATAAATATAGTATGTGGACACAAAACCTTCAAGAGACTTTGTTTTCTGCTGCCCTTCCCCACCCCCACTCTGCTTCAGCAGGTCCACAAGTAGAGGGGAGGCTGAAGAGCACATGTCCCCCCACGTGCTGCGAGTTCAGGCAAGAGCTGCCTATTAACGAGTCAGGCGAGCCCTCCCACCCCCACCCCTGCCACCCAGGACATGGGAGGGATCATGGGACATTGCAACCACTCCTGGTGTAATCATGTGACGAGCAAACACGTTTTCCTGAGTCACACCATTGCTTTCCTCCTCTCGTTCACTACATTCTCTTTTCTTGCAAGACCAGCATGGAAACTTGGCCTCTCAGTTTTTCTCCTTGCCCTAACCCCTCTCTAAGGGGGCGAAAAATGCAATTGTTCATAGATCTGTTTCTTCAAAAGACTTAGCGGCCTCCCTCATTCTCTTTTTTACAAGCTGGATGGTCAGGAGGGCTACCAGGAACATCCTGGCTTCTGTACCAGTATCTGGAGAGAGGAGAGGGGAGGCAGTTGCCAGTCCCTGTCCTTCCACTTGCTCTGGCACAGGAGCCCCCCACCCTGAGCCTGGCCAGTGGAACAGTCCCCTGCTCCTAACTTGCCCCCATCCCCACCCCCACACCCCCACCCCCAATTCCCAAAGCTCAGGAGACTTCAGAACCGGCCCCTGACAAAAACAAGCTGGCATGTGGAGGAAAACAAAATGCTGCTGGGACACGGATTGTCCATGTAGTACATTCTAATATCGTATTAGGTATCTGAATCTGTTAGGAAAGAAATTAGAAACTATGTAGAAAACTTAAAAATATTCAAGTATCAAAAGGCTATTCGGATCAAAGTTTAAAACAAGCTGTCAGCAAGCTGTTGCTGCCCAGAGGAAACTTTTACAAAAGTTTACTGAGTTTGTTCAGCAGAGAGCAAGAGAATGAAGTGACTGGTGGGGGAGGGGGACGATCAGCAGGGGAAGGAGGGTGTGGGCAAAGGGGGCAACAGGCTGGAGGAAGCCAGAAAGGCTGAGGTCTTTTTAAGCCAAAGAGGAGAGCTTGTGCCCAGCAGGCAGTGGACAGGGTCACTATCCCTGGAGAAGAAGCCATAAAGTGCACAGCCTGGGCCTCCCTCCCCCTGGTGTTGGTCCTGGACAGACAGACAGACGTTACAAGGCTCCACGGGGAGCTGCCTTCTGAGGCGCACATGAATAGCAAAAGCAAAGCAACGGGACAGAATAGAAAGACCCATATCTGGACAGAGTTCCTTCTAGAAAGAAAGAGAAGGAAGGAGGCGAAAGAGGTCAAACGCTACACAGTGTTGACTTAGCTTTTCAAACCCTGTTACACAAACAGAGTCAAATTTCTAAGTCAGGGAAACTGAAAAGCCCCCACCCACAGAGGGACAGGGCTGTGGCCCCCACGGTACGAAGCAGCATCGGTGTTTATTCAAGACATGATAGTGAGGGAATCTGGTCACGTTCCTTCTCCCCGGAGAGGATGCATCTTGACAAGCGTTCCAGTAGAAATCTCAAACTCTGGTAAGTTCGCGGAAACCACTCCCTTCACCTGGTCCCACCGCCAGGCTTGCTGCGCGCGGAGGCATGCTGGCTTGGGGCGCCCTCTGGTGGCATCATGGAAAACCACAGTCTGAGGCCCCTTGTGAGCTCACAGGCGCAAGGGCCGGTGATTAGGGTGGGGGATGGTCCACAACTGCCCAGGCCACTTAGCCTTTTGCCTTGGATAGTCGTCTCTAGGCAGTTCCTACACAAGGGTAGTCCAGCCCTTGGGGGTGGGGCAGCCCAATTACTCCTCAAGAAGATTCGGTTCCTGCTCTGTGGATTGCCCGGTTTTCCAGGTTTCCAGGTCGTTCTGCTGGCCTCTCAGAGATGAAACTGAGCCTTTAGACTTCAGTGGAGAACAGGATGCTCTGTCTCTTGCTGTCTGGGGCGGGAATGGCTTCCAGCTGCAGGAAGTACAGCAGCACCTGGACCTGCCCAGGGCAGAGCAGGGAGGAGGAAAGAGGAAAGTGGCTCAGAGTGGTGCTCACAGCTGGAGTATGCTGGTGACATAAGCCCCTCCCGCCAAGAGATCTGAATGCCCCTGAAGGAATAACAGGCAGGCCCTGAGAAGCCCCAGTAAAGGAACAGAAAGAAGGAAGGTGGCCTGGGCCTTCCCTTCCCCTCCCAGCCACACGGCCTCAGGCAAGTCCCTCTTTCTGCACCTTGGACCCCTCCCCCTGTACAACTCAGATGGGAACGACCCACAGCACCCGGGGTGGACCAGGCAGAGGCCACCTCTGAGATCAGGCAGCATAAGCTGAAGCCTGTTTCTGCTCATACCTGGGACATGACTTCCAGGGACCAGCTGTCGGTCATGGATATGGGCTGGCTGGGGTTGGCAGGGAGCTTGCTCTCCTTCTCTGATGGCCGGAGCAGTGTGGGGCCGAAGACTGTGGCAAGGTTGTGCAGGGACATCTTGTTCACGGTCTCCTTCTCTGCCACCCTGCAGAGGGTCAAAGCAGAGGGTGCTGTTGTGACATGGTCTTCAGGATGGAGGCGAGGCAGAGGGGCCAGACCATTCTGGAAGGTGGCTCAGAGAACGTGAGAGTAGGCGCCACCCCTTTCTGCCTCAGGCTGGCTCCACAACACTGACACCCCACCCCTGGATGTGCTGAAAGTAGACCACACCCCGGTTCTTCTGGGTTGGAGGGGCTCGCAGGTGGCTGAGCAGCTCTGGGCCGTGACCTGGTGGGGAGAGGAAGCCCAGGCACACTACTGGCTGTGGCTGAAGCACCTCATTCTTCCTTTAAGGCCGTGGAGCAGAGGAAGGAGGGTGGCAATGGCTCCAGTACCCTGAGCGGAGGAGCAACCACAGATAGGGGTGGAGGGAGAGGGGCCTAGGAGCCATGAATTGTGATAGGAGCCAGTGGGTCACAAGAGAACGTGCTTTGCTGCCTGGGGGCTCCTGAGGAAGAGCTGGGGTTACCTTTTCAGGTGGTCCAGAAGGAAGAGGAAGGTCAGCAGGTTGGCCTCTGGGAGGGACAGCAGCAAATTAAGCATACAGCTCTCCTTTGCAACAGGGTCTGAAAGAGCTGCAAGGGGGTTGGGAAGGGTGTTATTCTCAGGTTCATGATGAAGTTGGAGGCCCCTCTTGGGGCCCTCAGGGCAGGCAAGGCCTATCATTGTCCTGGCCTACACAGTAATGGTCCCCACTGAGAACCAAGTGACTGGAGGTGGCAGGTATAGCTGCTCTCCTGGCCGACTTGGCCATTCCCACCTCCTGCTCAGAAGAGCCCAAAGTATGAGAAGCTGAGCACGGACTGAAGCAGGAAGAGTGAGGGCAGGAAGTTTTCAAGGCCATGGCAGTTCCCTCATCACCCTGCTTACCCTGGGGGTCCTCTGCTGAATGGCCCTGGAGGCCAGGTGTGGAAGCTGCAGTTGCCCTGTCCCCCGACATCCCCACTTCGGACACCACCCTCCAGGAGGACCTAGGGTCAGGTCGGGCTTGAAGCCCTACGTGATGGGACCAGGAGCCGGGGTTAGAGGAGAAGAGGGGCACTGCAGTGAGGAGGAAGGAGCCTCCAGGACCCCACACGCCAGTGTGTCTGCAGTGGTACCAGTCCCTCACCCTCCTGGGCTCCTTGGAGGGATGGGGACAGAGGGAGGCCCTTTTAGAATAGGCAGAGGCCTTCTAGGATCAGCTAGGTTCTTGGTGCACTGCTACCCATGAAGTTTGGGCTCAAAGGCAGACCATGGTGGAGGGGGCACAGCTCACCCTCACGTTGCTGTTGACTCTCCCACCTCAGAGTAGCACTGGACAGGAGGGGTTGGGGAGACCTCCCATGCTCACCAATGCCCTCAGCAAAGTTGGGGTAGAACTCGTCGGTGAAGAGGGGTTCTGGCAACTCGCGGAAGTACAGCTTCAGTGTTCCAGCAATGGCATTCACATCCATCTCACTCATCATCACGGACACATCTTTGTTATCTGGAAGGAGTGAGGAGATGGAGCAAGGCCTACTCACAGAGCCCAGGTAGGGTTCCACTCTCCCTGCCTCAGCCAAGTGCAGCCCATAGCAGGCAGACGGCTTCTGAGGTTCCTCCTTTGAGCAGCTTGTGTCTTCCAAGCATGCCAGCGGTTCTGACAGGGGAGGCATCTTCCCCACACCTCCTTTGCTGGTCAAGGGGCGGCCTGGCAGCAGAACCACTCCAAGAAGCTATGAGGCCAGTGGAGGAGAGACGGTGCCCAGGTAGGAGCTGGGTGGCTATGTTCTGTAGCAACTACCTGATGGAGGCATCTTCTGATATCACTAAGGTGCTGGGATTATTTGTTCCACTCTATAGAGTTTAAGCCAGTGCCTTCCCTCTGGCCTCAGGTGACCACTGGACCTCTGTGCCACAGGCCAGGGAGGGAAGAGTATCCAGGCACGAAGTCCTGGCTCTGCCACTTTCCACTATGAGAAGCCTCAAGGGTTGCAGTGTCCTCAACTGGGGATTGAGGCAGTGCTACCAACTTAGCAGTCAGATCACACTGTGGTCTACCCTGTGGAAGCAGGTCAAGCCCCAGTGGGAGGTGGGCGGCCCCACAGAAGCCCCTGGGCCAACTCCACGAAAGCCATGCACACATGGCTCAGACAGGAGAATGGGTTTCTGCAGAACCTCCTCCCACCACTCCCTCTTTTTTTCACTGGAAAAATCAGACAAGAAGTGAAGAAAATGTATGGAGCCTAATACATTCAACAGGAACCAAGGTCACCAAGCCCACACCCCATCCTGCACTGCCTGGACCAATACTCACTGACGTCAAAGGCTGCCTTCAGCGCCTGGATGTCTGTGGCCACTCCAGACACGCGATAGATGCCTACTTCCTCCATGCCCCGCCGCTCAATCTCCTCCACGCACTGGCGCACGATGTAGGGCACCTTGGACCTCTCTCTCCTGCAGGGGAGGGGAAGCATCTTCAGTGCCTGGCAGCCCCGGCTCAGGCCACAGGGCTGGACCCATCACCTGTCTGCACACCTGGACACCTAGAGATGGGGGTGATGAAGGCCCCAGGTATGGGCATACACAGACCCTCCTGCATGCGTTCCCTTTGCTCTCAGAGCTCATGATTACCATTGCTTAGATCTTATTAGGGTCTTTCTAAGGTAGTGAGTTGCCCAATGAGTTATATGTGATCTTTAGGGAAGGTCAGGAAGCTTTTCTAGGTGTTATCAGCCATAGGAAGTCAGTTAAAAGATTCCAGCCATTGGGTTAATAGGTGGCTGCAGAGTCATGGACCCAGTCTGGGCACTGCCAAGACTGCCCTGTGAGAGGTGAATCCTGACCCCTCCAGGCCTCAGCAAGAGGTGAGTACATAGCAGCACTCCACCAACATCTACTAGATGAATGACCCCACAGGGCTGCCTAACATCAGCACTCAGAATCCTGTGGTTCTAAACACTTTTTCCTAAATACAACACCCAATTCCCAGAGAAGGAGTTTTTAAAAATAGGAGACGTGATTTTTGGAGGGTCAGCTTTAGCCTAGTTTAGCAATTGGATTCAGGAGCTCAGCAAAGTTCCTTCCCAAGCCACTCCCACAGGCAGTGCTTATTCGGGGTAACTGCTGACACAATCCTCTCTGCTCAGGCCCAGGTCCATCCAGAGAGCTGTGGGGATGCCAGGGGTGCAGCTGGGGGCGGGGAGTGATGTTTGGATACAATTAGGTGTCTGGGGAACATCTGACACAGGCTCTGGCCTTGAGGTCAGGGGCCCAGCTGGATTCCAAACAGGGGAAGTGAATGGATTCCTCCCAGAATCCATTGTCCCTGAGAAGTGCTCTCAAACCAGCAGACAAACTTCTCCTGGCAACTGACCTGTGCCCCAAGGGCTGGTGTTGCCACAGGAACCCTGACTGTGATAAATGTGGAGCCAGGGAAGAAGACCCTGGCCCTGTGCTGTTCCAGTGGTAGTGTGGGAGTCCGCCTGACCGTAGGGAGAGGGGGCGAAGACATTCCTGAACTGATGGGGACGAGTTTCCCAGTAAACACAGGAGACAGCTAAGCACGCCCAGTGCTCCATGGGCCTGAGAGGCATCCTGTGCTTAGAAGACTGTGCAGAGAGGGGAGACCCTTGCCTGGTCTTTCCTTCAGAAAGACTTGGTCAGCAGGGGACCGGGGGCGGTGCCCTTGGTGTCTGAGGAGGAGAGACACATGAGCCCTCACCCCTCTCCACTCACTTGGTGACCACGGCAATCTTGACTCCGAAGACACCTGTCTGTTTTCGGGAAGGCATTCTCTTCAAGCTGAACTCCCTGCTGGTGAACTTGACGGAGAGTTTCACTTCGATCTGCAGAGGGAGGCAGGGAGCACAGCCCTCTCACCCTTCTGAGACTCACAGTCTGAGTTCCCAGAGGCCCTGGGGGCTTGGCAAATCATCCTCCTCCCCCGGCAAGTGGGCTAAGATCCCAGCACAGGGCAGCCCCCTAGCCCAACTCAGCAAAGGTCAGGGACAGCCAGGGTGATACTGCTCCCCACCCTAATCCCCACTGCTTCTCTTTCTTGCTTAATAGTTAACAAAACAAAGCAAGAGGAAAAGCACAGAAAATAACATAACAAAAAGCCATGAATTACCTATCAAATGTTAACATTTTGTCATATACGCCCAGATCTTTCCTGGTGTATAATAGTTTTGTTTCTTTTTTTTTTTTATAAAAGATTTAAATCCTTCTGGGGAACTGAAAACTAATTAGGGGTCTCAGTTTCTACAGACAGACCTCAGGGTCGAGGCCCTGCCTAACCTAGTGGTACCACTGGATTACTGTTTGGGGAGGGACACTCAGCGCCTGGCTGGTGACTACATGCCAGCAACCATATGTTCATAGTGATTCTGCTTTGCAGGGCCTGTGCCTCTGCCTCCTGCAGCCATGCCCCACCTCACACACTAGCCCAGGCTTAGCCTCCTTCTGACTGTTTTGGAAAGAATAGGGGCCACCCTAATCTTCTTGGAAAAGCAGGTGCCAACATACCCCATTCATGGCAATGACAGTCCGCTGCCAGTCTCTGTCCTGCAGGGCCTGCGGGTCCAGCTGAAAGCAAGCAGTCATGATTATCAGATGCCCTGGAGGCTGTGCAGAGACCCTGCCAGGCAGCAGCCCAAGCCTGTGACTTCTCCAAACTTAAGTCAGAACTGGAGCCGAACCTCTGCTGGCACCCGAGAGGGGTCCAGAAAGGGGACCTGCTAGGAAACCCCTGGAAACGGAGAGCTCTCCTGCTCCCAGACCTGTGCTTCGTGTGTCCCAGGCTCACCCGAGGTGTGAGATGGTGACAGCTCGGGGCCCTGCACCCTGTTCCTCCCTCAGTCCCTTCCAGATGGGAGCTCAAGTCCATGCCGGCATCTGTCTTGCTCCCCTTCACCAGCCATCACAGGTGCTATACACAGCTCAGTGGAAGCTGAGCAGTTGGCTTAAATATTTGGGGAAACCCAGTTTCAATAGTAATTTTCAGAAGGCATGCCAACCAAGAGTTTGAGACTGTTTTCTCCCCTGTGTGCTCAGTGGTTTAACTGTAGGAGCCCATGCAGGTGGTGGTCTCCAGTCAAGGCCAGTCCTATGGCTATGGAGTCAGGCCCAGAAGGACCCAGAGCCCAGCTCCAAACCACACAGCTAGTGAGGGGGGCTGGAGAAAGGCCCTCTGCAGTCCCTCTGACTTCTACCCCACAGAGCATTGTATGAGTGCCAGCCTGCGGGACCATGATGCCCCATCTCACCCAACAGCCTGTGCTGCTGTAAGATACCCCAACCTTTGTGCTCTGGCCAAGCACTCCCTATCTATGAGGGCTCCATCGTCCCTTTTTTGGGGAGCACACGTGCACACCAGTGGGGTGGGCTGGACAACTAAGCACCTGGGAAGAGCTTGTTTAAAAAACAGCTCCCTAGGTTGTACTTACAGAGTTGCCCTTTCAGCTCAGGGTGGGATCTGGGGTTCACTTAACTAGAAACCTCCCCAAGTGATTCTGGTATAAAGTCAGGTTAGGAGCCACTGTCTGACACCATATAACCTGGTGCTCCCCATACAGGGCCTTGTGATGCAGCATGGCTGTGACTAGGCAAACCACCTGAGTGGGGTCCATGCCTAATGATTTCTGTACAAACCTGTGTGTACATGCATGCACCCCCCCCCCGCCCCCCAACAGCAGTACTGAGCATAGTGCCAGGTCCAGAGAGGTGCTCAGGACAGTCATCCCCTTTTTATCCACTGCAAGGGACCTAACAGGTGACAGCCACATGGGCCTTGTGTAGGTGAGATATCAAGGTCCGGCTGCTGCTACCTCTCAGGTGTGCACAACCTGAGTCTCTGTCGCTGCACTGCTTGGCATGGAGGCTCATCACAGGCACTCCTGGTGGGGGGAGGGGGCTTACCTCCCCTTCACCATCCTACTGGTTAACATTCCCAAAGATCTGAAATGTACAGACAGGATGACAGAAAAGCAAAGGCTGCAGAGTGTCTCCCTCCTGGGGCTGTGTGGTTACAGGTTCTTGCTCCACATCTGTCCCTGGAAGTTCTTGGGGGGGGGGGCATACTCCTGGGTCATGGGGACCCCACCCTGAGGGACAGGGTCTGTCAGGAGGGGCTAGTCAGTTACAAACCACTCAGAAAATGAAACCTCCCAACTGGTGCTTCCCCCCTAGAGTGAATCCCAGGCATCCATCTGGGGGAATAGCATCCTCCGGTGGGGAGGCAGGAGGGGGAAGACTCTAGGGCCCTTCCATGGTTTCCACCAGACAAAGTATGGTGTGAAAAGGTAAAGGTGGGGGGATGTACTGCCAGACTATAACACTCAACTTCTGTGCCCTGGCTTCCCAGGAAGGAAGGGGACAGACACCATTCCTCCTGCTCTTAAGGAAAGGGAGAGCTAAACATCGCCACTGGGAGCTTTCTTTAAAGGAGACACAGAAGCAACTTCAGCAGGAAATCCCCTTCCCCTTCCCTCCCAGGAATGGTAATCACTGGACCCCTCTCTCCTCAATGTAGCTGACAGACAGAGGCACCCCTGCCCCTACATGGCCCACCCAGGAAACCATGGCACACCCATCTGCCCACCTTGCCCTTGCAGACGAGGTTTCGGATGTGGGTCCACAGGGCCGTGCCCCAAGCACACAGGGGCTTTTCAGCAGAGGCCGGTCGGCTCCGGCCAGCCCGGCTGGGGTGGAAGTACCGTAGGAGGCCCTGCATGGCGGCGGGGGCAGATGGTGTCTCTCTCATCCTTGGCCCTGCTGTTCTGAGAGGCCGATGTGGCTAACAGGAGCGCGTTCAGACAGAAGCGCGTTCAGACAGAAGCGCAGATGGACAGTAGTGTGACAAACTCCCGGCCTTCACTGCCTTTTAACCATGCTTTTCGGGAAGCCCCACCCCTGCAGCCTGGCTCACCATGGTCAAAGTTTCCGATCACCCCCGGATTCTCCTTTTTTGTGTGTGTTTGGAAAATACATCCCTGTCCCCACCAACAGCCTATTGGTTACGGGAATTCCAGGGTGTTAGTTTTCTTTAAAGCCCAGAAAAGCCAAACTTCCTTCTCAAGTGGCTGGTTTCCTGTGGGTGCATTTGGAGACACTGAGTAACACATGTTTTCCTGGCCAGTCTGTCTCATGGCTATACATGTTAGAGACCCCTTCCCCAGAGCCTGTACCGCCTTAGCTAGTGACACCAGTAATAGCTCACATGGTCTTGACTGGACTCAAGCAGAGAACTCGTTGCGGCCCCCTTCCCAGAGCATAGCCAGCCCAGTGGAGAGGGAGTTCGGTGCCATCGTCCACCACCAGCACCAATGTCCAGCCTTATTGTCACCTGGACCCAGAGGCTGTGGCACAAGCTGGTCACCAGAGTGCAGACCTGGGCCACGGTGCTGTCAGGTGAGTTCTCATCCAGCCCCCAGGACCCACAGCAGCTCCAGTGAGCAAGACAGACCCCAGGCTGGCTCAGCTCCAAAGAACAGACCGTGCCGAGAAGAGCGGAAGGAGCACAAAGAATAACACGATGATGAGGCCCGAGGCTCAGTGCAGTCCAGCCCCAAAAAACATTCAAGGCTGGCACGCGCTCTCATGTGGCTATTTAAAGGACCAAAGAAGTAAACAAGCTGGGGACTGGGATTTGGAAAAATAGATGATTGAGTGGAGAGGACCAGGAAATGGTGCTTCAGATGTCTGTGGGGGCCCCTTGTGGTCTCAAGGTCTCAGTAAGGAATATGCCTGCTGCTGGGGGCTGGAGGACTAGACGGAGACTGGGTAGGTAGGGGGGTGTCTGCTCACACCCAGTATTCTCAGGAGGAAGAGATGGTTTCCTGCTTGTCTCCTCGGGGTTAGGTGAGGCAGGGAGCTCCAAGGAATAAGAGTGGGCAGTGGGGCTGGTGGAGGGTTGTCCCCAGGTCCCCAGGTGGCTTTGCTGAGGACCTGGTGCTAGGTGCTACCCTATGCCGGAGAGGCAGGACTAAACAGTCCAAAGGAGGCAATGCCCATTTCCTCCCCGTTAGCCTCTGTGTAGACTGTAGTTCCCCCTGTGCCCACTGTCATCGCCCAGGATGGTCCAGCAGGGCTTCCCCAGGGCTCTTCACTGAGCTTCACATCTGCACTGGAAGCTACTCCCTGGAATGGGTCTTCACAGAGAAATTTCTCCAGGAGGGAAATCTGGTCTCCTGTTCTGCTTTTATTGCTACAATCTGTTCTCCTGTCCTCTAGCATCTACATCTTTAATTCTTTGCTGCCCTTCTCTGATCCCCACCAGGCTCCAGCATCACTTTAAAGGATAAAGGAATACTCCCAGAACATCTATGATCAAAAAGACAGATGGTAACAAGTGTTGGTTAGGCTGTGCAGAAACAGGATCCCTCAGACTCTGCCGCTAGGGATATAAAATACTGCAGTCACTCTGGAAAAGTAGGGCAGCTCCTCACAAAGCTAAACTTGGCTTCTTGGTACAGCATTTTCACCCCCAGGTGGAAATTCCACACGGGAAGAATGAAAACATCCATTCACACAAAGACTTGTTTGCCCACGTTCACAGAGGTGTTAACCGTAATAGCCTCGAGCTGGAAACAACCCAATGTCCATCAAATGGTGAATGGATAAACAAAACATGGTAAGTGAATGCACTGAGTGGAATATGATTCAGCCTTAATGAGGAATGAAGGGTTGGTACTTGCTATAATGTGCGTGACGTTCAAAAACCTGCTAAGGGGAAGAAACCTGTCTCAAAAGACTACACGAATATACAATTATTCCATTTATATGAAACAAGAAGGAAGGGCAAATCTATATACAAAAAGTAGATCAGCCTGGGTCTGGGGGTAAGAACAGTGAGTGATTATAAATGGGAATGAGGAAATCCTTCTGGGGATGGAAATACAGTAAAACCTTGGATCGCAAATAACTTGTTCTTCGAGTGTTCTACAAGACAAGCAAACATTTCTAATAAACTTTAACTTGATAAATGAGTGATGTCTTGCAGTACGAGTAGTACATGATGCTGAACTTGACATGATCACAACTGGGCCAATGGTTCTTGGAATTCACTTTGATATACAAGTGCTTTAGGTTACAGGCCTGTTACTGAAATGAATTATGCTTGCAAACCAAGGTTTTACTGTATTCTACAACTCTGTAAATTGACCAGAAATGATTGAATTGTATATTTATAACGGATGCATTGTATGGTATGCCAGCTAAGAAAATAAAGATAGGGTCCCAAACTGGACCGCAGTAGAGCAAGGGTCCAGATCACATGGCCTCACTCTCTCCAGGGTGGTAGTGGTATGCTTCTTCAGGACAAATCTTGGGCAATCTTTACAAGAAGGGTAAGCTCATGTTTTTACATGTTCATAACTTCTACAGCCGAAAATCTTCCTCAAATGTTTGTTAAAAACAATCATCACCCATTTTATGTTACTGATACAAAAAACCCTTTGGACCTGCTCCTTCCAAGATGGTTTAAGAGGTGACACGGGTTTCTCCCCTTGCTCACCCCCAACACAAGCTGCATCTCATTCATTTCTGAGTACCATGCCCCCAGTCACCTGGGAAGGCTTCCCTCCTCC